TTATTACAATTTTGCTCTGTTTAGCTCTTTTGTCACATAGCATCTGTCGAACCTTCTGTTGTTATCTTTGAACCTGAAAGAAAAAGCGAATGACATAAATTTCAATGTAAATACTACCATAGTAATAATGATTGGTGTCTCTACAGTTCGAGCCAGGATTATTGCTTTGCTTTTCTCTACAAGCAATCAACACTTGCATGGCTGATCTTTAAAAGTAAGAAAATGTTTGTTCCAGATTGGTCTTCATTCATTGCATGTACTAACACAGAAAAAAATACAGTGCAGTTGTTAGCCAATATTTGTAATTTTGCCTCCCCGACCACAATGAAGTTGCATATTAAACTTGAAAATAAAGTGTATTACATGCCCTGCATTCAATTCAGGAGCTGACGCTGATCAGGTACATTTTGATTTACATCTTACACTCAATAAATTTGTAAGTTCTCAATACTTTTTCCACATATTTCTTTCAACTGCAGATATGAGAATTTGGTTGCAGATCAAGACAACATGCCAAATTATGTTTTTATTCCCTTACTCTTGTCACCCGTTTGCTAGAAATAATGTACTATGATTGTTCATAGAAATTTGATTTGGGTCCCCTGAAGTTTAACCACATTAACCAGATCAGACAGTCATACACTCTAATTTGCCAGTCATAAAGCCAAGTTGCCCTTTCATAGTTAAATGGTGCAAGCATGAACTACTTTCTATGAGATATATTCAATTTCTAGTTAGTGGAAACTGTACTCACCTACACTGAGGTAGTAAAGAGAAGTTGTTTTTCAATCATGCTTTGTCCAGTGAAATGGTCCAAAAACTGTTGAGAGAAACAATTTGATAAATAACTGTGCTTCGGTGCATACTTTCTTGCCATACGGACATACATGTCCTCACGGCAGAAGAATTGTTTCACAGGTGAACAAAATATTACAAAGTATGCATTCACTGAATTGATGGTCCCACCTGCGAAAGACAGCCCAGGTAAACTCAACCTTTACTCCTTCTTGCATTAACATAACAGTAACACACGTACACTGATTTAACTAGACATTGGAAAAAAACATGTCCTGCAAACCAAGGTTATCCCAACCAAAACAGGTTTGAATAAGTACCACAACAATGTTGTTTTAAGTCTACTGGAAAATGCTTCATCGCATTTCCTAAAAGACTGAAATTAAAGAATACTGTTAGTATTGTTACATTGTACTAACCTATATTGATGAGAAAAGTTTCTTCCAATCTTTTGTCAGATCAGTGTTGTATTCATTGTTTGCAGTAAAATTGTACAGAATCTGTTGGAAAAACGAAAATGAATAATAAAATAAATAAACTTCTAAATGAATTGATTTTTAAGTTAATGTATTGTTCTTGGTTGTAATATTGGAGAGTAAAGGGTACATTTTAGAAATGTAAAAATAAAGCAGAGATTTGGCAGATCTTCAAAATTTGGATCTACAGAAGACACGGTCCAAACTCGAACCCCAGGAACTCAAATCTAATGCTAACTCGAATCAAAACTGATTTCCACTAGAAATCAAGAGGAGCACCTATTAGAAAGGAGGGTGCTAAATCAAATCACTACGGTATGTATTATTCTCCCCCAGTTTTGATATTGACTAATTTCAAACTTCTTTACATGCTATTATGCCAACAAAATTATAACCTCACTCAACTATCTCCCCCTGAATGGGATGCTAGTCCACCTCATCATAGGCATAGGCTACATCATAGGCATTGTGAGAATAAGATGACTTGCCCAAGACCTGGGTGGGATACTTGACCATGTTTGGGTATAGGGGTGCAGCCAAGGGTTTGAAATCCTGACCCTGTTTAGGACAAAAATACTCTAAAAACCCTACCCAGTGTAGGACAAAGAAACACAAAGTAACTAGACCTACCAGTACGATCTATTCTGTCAATGCACGCTAGTTATAACACTGATAAGTGGAGAAAAATTGTTTTACCGACAGCAATAGCATTCTTGTCCAGAAAATGATCTGACGTTGATTGATGACCTTGTAATAGCCGGTTAACGTCTCTCAGCTCTTAATACCACACCCTGTTAAGGACAGGTTCTGACCCTGTTTAGGACAGAGGCGAGTAAAATTTGTATACCCTGTTCAGAACAGCAAGGCCAAAAATCCATACCCTGTCCAGCAAGTTCCCCCTCGAAGCCCAAGAGCCAATGCAATGACACCAACCAGGGCTTGAACCTGGACTGCTCGATCCGTATTCCAACACACTACTTGATGTATAGTTCACCTCTGTCAATTAATTATGGGAATACTGCTAAGTTGTACTCACCTACTGCTATGATATAAAGAGAGGTTCTTTTAAAATGCTCTGTCTGATCAGTGTTGAATTATCAGCAGAAAAATCACCTAGAGTCTGTTGGAAAAAGTGAAATAGATTTAAATGGCATGTACAGTTGAACCCCCCTATTTCAAACTCTCAGGGGAAACAGAAAATGGTTTGTAATGGCGGGAGTCTGAAATAGCCAAAAGTAAACGAATTAAGGGCAAATCCAAGGGAAATGGGTTTGAGTTTAAAATAACGGGGAATTCAAAATAACCGAGCTTGAATTAGCCAGGTCCAACTGTAATCAATTTAATCAATATCTAATTTAATGCTTTCTTCTGGGTTAAAGTCTCATGTAGTGAAATAAGGACATTTAAAACTCTTTCAAAATAATATTTCCCCGGCAAGTAAGACTATTAGAGTACAGTGAGTTCTCAGCTGCTCCATCAAACAAGTGTACTTAAAGTAAGTTAAATAAAAAATACAGTATACAATCATATTAAATATAAATGTACCTGGCTCAGTCAATGTTATAAAGGTACATGCACAATAAAACTACCTTCAGTTCCAAGAAAACATTTCATCAAGCAGAGACCTCTTACTATGGGATTTTCACTTTACTGACAGAAATGGAAAACCACAATTACCTAAAATATTGCGACAGAGACGGTGCTGCACCAGGCAGGCCGTTCTTCTTTAACCATTCATTAGCTGTTCCATTTGCATCGTCAATGAAATGGTCCAAAATCTGTTGAGAAAAGGATGAGAGAGTGAAATAACTTTTATTATATCCTTTCAGGGTTTCTCAAATTATAAAATAATTAAACTATTCACCATCTTATGCAGAAGAAATAAGATAAAACTGAAACAAAAACTATACAACAAAATAACTGCTAATTAAATTGTCATTGCCTCAATCCATTGGTACTCATGCTTTTCATCCACAGGTCCCTCCAGCCAGTCCACTCCCTTGTGCAGGGGGTAACGGAAACTGCACCATCTGCTGGACCTGTTTCTCCAGATGGATCAGCTTCCTTTGCAAAGAATGGCATTCACCCTCTACAGAATGAGCATAAAAATAAATAAGACATTAACTGTGCAGCAAACAAGAAAACTAGCCAAAAACATCACTGGTCCAAAGTGGATCATTGATACCAAAAAAAAAANAGCCAAAAACACCACTGGTCCAAAGTTGATCATTGATACCGGAAAAAAACACAAGTTTTATAACATAACTAAAGCAAAGCATGCACTCTGATTGGTTAATTCATCGTCTACTATTTACCCATGGGTGTACGCTGCTGACATGTGTGCTAATGTGATGTAGCTAAATAAGAGGACTTGTTTTGCTCCAATGTGTTAATGTTATGGTATAAAACAAATAGTAAATGCCACAGCTGTACACTATTAAGTTATGGATGCACTTGGGGGCTTAAGAAGCTAGAGTCACACACATTGCATAGATAGTTTTCTTGGAGGAATTGCTTCTAACTGTATCACAATTAATGTTGTTTAAGTGTTCCTCCATTGCTGACCCAACATCTACAAGCTGTGCACAAACCTTTTCCTATGATTTAGAGAAGTCATTGTGCCACCATTTGGGAGTTTTTCCATTGCATCACCATGAGTATAACATACTTCTGAAAAGAAACCAAGAAGTTATATTGTGTACCAAAATGTTGCAGAGAAAATCATAACTCTAATGACTGAGTTTGGAAATTGCTTATTTATCAAGTATTGCAATTGATTTTGAAGTGCAGTATACAGTACAGGTCATATCAATTCCTCCAAGGGAGTCTATATAGCTTATGATTGGCTTTCAATGATATAGTGACATTTAGCTTTAGAAAACACTTGATCTTCTGCACTAATCTT